GACTCACTTTTCTACTAGCACACACTTTACATCTCTTTTAGGACAGTCACTCCCACACCAATCAACCGGTGGGCCTCTCTTGCAAGGCGTACAGACTCGGGGATATTTGGATTCCCAGTAGGAATTTTCATTCTCCTCAGTCGATTGAACTTGGTCTTGATGGAATCCTTTGTTCTTCCATAGGGCCACTCTTGTCCATGTCTGTGAACCACCATGAGCCAGTCTCCCTTACCAATGGGAAGGATCTCCTTGATGAGAGTCATCAATGAGACTAGCTCTGCTTCAGAGTAGTTTGCAGTACCAGGCTTACGGCCAGACCCCTCTACTTTTGATTGACCTCCCCCCGGGGGAGGAGGCACTGGTGCAGCCGCTGGAGGAAAGCGTCCCCCATTGCAGGGAGGGATAGTAGCATAAGGACCAGTACGTGTCGACATTTTTGCCCGTGGAATGAATATTGTGTGAGGGATTTCCCCCGCCCTCCTTGCTGTCTCGTCTTCTTGAAAGAGTGCCTCAAGGAGTTGGTCCTCTCTTTGTTTCAATCTAATGTAAAGCGTAGTGAATAAGACAGGGGACATGGTTATTGCTGTCGTTCTCTTTGGTGTTATGACAGAAAAATAATGGCGCTGGCGCCTTCTAATTTTTTAGTAAATTCTTTCAGTCTTAAATTTGGCAGGTCTTTTCAGTTGAGTCCTACAACGGATTTTCATTCTTGGATTCCGGTCTAGATTTAGACTAGATGGTCTATTTTTGGTCTGTCTGTCTATCAATATTTAGACTTTCTAGATTAACGGGAATCACCCAATATCAGAGCCCTTATGGTGGTGTGGTAGCACCACACAAGGTGGTTCAGTCAATGAGGCAGTACTACTAAGAGATAATCAGCCAACCAGCAAGATTGAGCCAAGAACTATAATAAACTCAACAAGAACCACCACCTTCCTTCTTCTTCTTGGAGAGCAATCACCAATCAGAATTCCAGGAGATTTGGTAAGTAGTAAGAAAAGGCTTTCACCCCCTTTTCTCTTATGTGCTATGTGCTTCATGTTTCTGGGTAAAAGTGCTATCAGAGAACGTTTCTGACACATCAATCAATCTGGAGCTGATAAAAAATATTCATTCAAACAAGTGCGCAAAAATGAATGCAGAACATGTTGCATGGGACAAATAGTAGTATTAGTGTAATGTATGGATGTAATTTTCATATTTTCTTCTTCGCCAAATGGTGCCGTCTGAATTGCAATGAAAGKAGGGAACGTTCATACTCCAATCATTAAAACAACCTCATATTATCATTCTCTTCTTCACACATTTTGCTCCTAGCAGAAAAGGGTAGTTCTACCCCTCTWTGTAAATCATCTACGTATGGCAGATGCCAAATACAAAGCAAGTGGCTAAAACTCAAACAGCTGCTGTACCTACACTCCAATGATCGTCACACAAAAATCAAAGTTTCGAATCGGCTAAGCATCATATTCAATGCCCCCTCTTTATGGAKAAGTATAACTAGAATGAATGACTTCCGACTTTCAAAGAGATCGACGTGTTATCTGCGTATTTTCGAGGCAGGAAGTGTGAACCATAGCATTCCTTTCATTTCTCTCGTATCTTTGATAACGAACGCCAGATACGTATTGAAAATCCAAAACGTTCTCTTGCTCTTCTGAAGTCAACGGAACAAGCCGTGGTGATGATTGATATGTGTTATGCAGTCAAAATTTGAATCCAGTCATCCGCCTCCTCCTTGGTAGGTGTTTGTATCAGTATTCTTCTTCTTGTTGTCCTACCGATGGCAAATTTGGATGCAGCCGGCTGAGATATGAATTCAATTAACTCAAATGAGTTATCGTCCATCTGTTTCACTCTGGATTTTGCTAGAATTACCGATTCTGTTGGCGTCAAAGGATCGCTCCAACCTCTACCAAAATTGGATTTTCCCGACCCATCGCTCGTTATTATGAGTGTCGGCGCGAGCAGAGTAAATGCAACTTCAGGGCTTGTAGTCAATTTGACCCTGGGGGAATCAATGTCGAACATATGGAGGAAAGAATCTGCACTCATCACAGCAAGACTTAGAGTCCAGTCTCCATCTTCGGCTTTTCGCAAGACAACCTTCGCCTTGCAAAGTAAATCACTGGTGAGCGGTGATTCGAGATTGAAATCGGCAAAGTCGTCTTCAGTTTCGGATACAAGATCAGCAGCCATTGTCTTTCTTTTGTATTTGGATGTACGCTCATCGATAATTGTTTGAACAGCTTTTTCCATGTCATCCCGAGTCATTTCTTTTCCAGTAAGCTCCTCCAGAACTTTACTTTGAATGGAAGGGAGGTCAAGAAAWAGCCTCTGCTGACGCTGGGCGAATGCGACAAGAAATTCACGAAGATTCATCCTTCGATTTATCTCTTCCTGTTTGATTTTCAGGAATAGATTTGATAACACCTCGTTACCTTTGTCCCATGCTAAATTTTGATACGTCACGGCAACACGGTACTGCATCTCCACCAC